TTCTAGCAGCCTTCGTCGCAGTGCCTCTCTCTTATCACGCACCGGGACTGATCCCAGCAGCGGCCCTCCCCAGAGAGCCGTCTTGAGCCATCCATTGCGCTTTTCCTTCGAGCAAAACTTGGCCAAGGAACTTTTGCTCTCTGGCTTCTCTCAGGCGCGTGGCTTTTGTACCTCCACAGAACAGCGCTGGGACCCCTACTGTGCTGCCAACAGTGCACTTGACAATACAGAAACACGATTTGGCCCCAAGAACTGCCCTATCAACGCTTTATCCACCTCAGCCGATTCTGGGGAACTGTAGCGATAGCTCAGGCAGGCATTTCTTTCTTTTAACCCTCCCCTTGCGTCTTTCTGACTGCCACACCAATTTGGCTGGTCAACTGCAAGTTCTTTCCCTCAAACTGGTGATTATGAGGCGCCAGTGGCCGCCAGTCTTGTCATCCCGTTCGTGAAGTCTTGCCCGGCCCAGCCCTTTGCCACTTGGACGAGGTGATGAATCCTTGGGTTGGCGACTGAGCATCAAGACGTGGTTCTCGACTCGTTCGAGTCCCCGTCACTGACTGACCTTCGGCCAACGGACAAGCTCGGTCTGCTTGGCTGCTCGTCGCCATGTTCAATCTTCCCCCCGACAAGTCGAGGGCTTCTGACTTCAACACAGACTCTTACGGATTCAACAACCAGGCATGGTCGGCGTTCGATTTTGGCCAAGGAGCGCCCTCGTCGTCGAGCCTCGCACCAGACCACAACCATGATACTCGCCAGTCGTTCAGCGATGCTGGGGGAATGGAATGGGCCCCTACATCGTCCAATGTACAACCAAATTATACCAATGGCCACCACGAACACCAAGACCACCAAGGCGACACAGCAATGGAGCTCGAGGCCCTAAGTTCGCCTCAAACTGGCAGAGGGGTTGGCCGTTTAGTCGCCCATTTCGAGAATAAAGGTTTCAATCCATTTGAAAACAAGTCCTTCGAGCCTCCTCCTCCTCTTCCACCGCGGCCTGCCAATACCACTGTCAACAACAATCAAAGTCACCACCAGGCTCATCAGCAGGTGGAGCAAAATCCGTCAATCAGCATGAATAGTTTCCAGGCGAGCCTTAGTTTCGATCCTCTGTCGTATTGCGGAAATGGGATCAGCAGCACCGCCTCCTCAGTATTCAACCCAAACAGAATCACAAACCCAGTCACTGGCACCGGCCAAAGTTGGGGAGAATTTGCCTCATTACAACGAGTGACAAGCCCGATAGCGGCCAGCCCGCCCGCCATGTCGTACAGCAACTTCCAAGACAATAGAGTAGGTTCATCATCAGCACATTTTGGAAACCTCGACGATTTCATGTCAGACAACCGCATACATAGTTCGATGGCGCATTCCCCCATACCTGACTCGCATCTGGCATCATCCCCAATGGTGGCCTCGCCGATGACGCAGTCTCTCTCTCATTCGAACGCAGCTCCTGTTGGCGGCACACCAGGGTTTGAGATCTGGCGTCCCCCTGGCACCACTGCTAGCACCACTACCAAAATGAATCAATCTCAACCTAACAACTTCACGACTCCTCTGTCTGCCACAAATAGTTTCATAACCCCGAGCGGCTCTCACAGCACAGCGACTAGCACGACCAACCGAAACAGTATTGGCGGCAGAAGCTCGACTAATAGCGCAGGGTTTCTTAAGCCTCCTGTGCCGACAACCCCCAAACCTAACATTGGCGTTGGTAACCAGTTCATTTTGGAACTGATTCCCAGTGCAAAGGCCAAGGGAAAGGCACCAGCAAAACCACCACGGCCGCGCGTGCCTCCACCAGTGCCAATTTCTTTTGCAGCAGATATTAAACAAGAACCAATGACGCCTTCGCCATCTACGATCCCCCCTGCATCTTCAACACCAACTTCCCTAACCCCATCCACAACACTGTCGGTAAGTATTGTGCTCGCTGTTGGAACAGCCATGGTGTGGTAACAGTATATCCTAACGTAAAGTATCAGGATCAAAAGCCTGGATCAATTTCTCTTCGAGGCCAAGCTGGAACTCGACCGTCACGGGAACAGGTTCCTGCTGAGGCTTGGGAGCAATTTAAAGGGACGATCCGGTCGTTGTATCTGGAGGAGAGGAAACCGCTGAAGGAAGTGATGGCCATTATGGCAGAGAAATATAACTTCCAAGCAACGTATGTTTGTGAACCAAACGACTGGTGAATCAACGAATGGACACCGGATCTTGTGCTGACGCTCTTCAGACCTAAAATGTACAAGACCAGATTCTCTCAGTGGGGTTTTGTGAAAAACAATACTGAGGAAGAAGTAAAGAAACTGCTATCGATGAAATTCCAGCGCGATGCAGAGGGCAAAGTGTCGGAATTTGTTCGCAATGGCCGAGTCGTGAATCTCGGGACGTATCTGAAGAGAAAAGGCGTGACTGAGTACGACTTGGTCGATTTTGAGTTGTCTGCTGACTTGCCAGCTCATGTCCGATGCCGAACACCGACGCCACCTCCAGCACCTGGGTATCTCCGATCTCCCGACCTGCTTCGCGCGCAGGAGCTTGTTGTAGGCAACATGCGGAAAGCATTTTTACACTGCCGCCAGTTCGAAGTCGAGACCGATGCTCGCATCGGTTGGCCAATTACCATGGTATGGGGTGCCGGATCCAGCGACTTACTATTGGAAGCCAACTTTTATTTCGAAGCACGGGATGCCGACCAAGGCGGCGACTTTTTGATGAAGGCCTTCAAGCAACTTGAGCTTGACCTGAAGAAGCTCTCGCCATTAGGTATCAACGAGCTGTTACTCGGCATGGTACACCGTGATCCTGGCATGATGACCGCTCTTTGCAAATATTTGGCTGCGTATTCCTCAACTAACTTTGAGCGATCACACCCGCTGCGTCAAATATTTGCTTGTTTGTATGAAGTCCAGCAAAAACATGGATCAGCAACAGTGTCAGAACTATTATGGGGAAGCATGCCGACAATTGCGGAGGAATTAGAAGCGATATACAGCCGTCGTCACCCGTACGTCACCAGGACGTGGATAGATCTTGCTCTGTTTCACAATCATGTAAATGCCGATCGCCTCGATAAGCTGGCCTCCGAACTTCGGCTTCAGCAGCGGCAAGTAGACCAACGGTACGGCACGAACAGCACCGACGCGTTAACCCTGCGGTACTCTATTTTGCAATTGCTGTATGTGGTCAATTCCCAGTCTGATTTGACCAGACACGCAGCACACGATTTGTGGAACCATCTTAAGAGCATGTGTGTGGTGTTTGGGCTTCGAGATGCTAAACCCAACGTCTTCTGTTATCACAGCCCTGTGAAGGTTGATCCGTGGACCAAGAGATGTCGACGACGATATGACTCTGGCGTGGCCATTTTAGAAGAACACGTCGGTGTCAGGGTCCAACCATACTTTGAGGAAGACTTCCACCATGCCGTCCATGTTCCTGACGCTCAGGAGGCATGGTCTTCTGCTCTGGGTCACATGAGCTCGGGGAAGTATTCGTTCATCTGATCGAGTTGACCACCGCGCTGATCATTTGGCCTTCACCAGAGTGGCCAGCGTCAATTTTTCAGACGCCTTTTTGAGACTACTTGTTATTAATTGACATGCATACGACGGCTAGGAATAAAAGCAACACACCAGTTGGAAGCGCAAGACGAGAAAAGGCAGGTTAAGGTACGCGGACCATATACCCATGGAGTCGACATTATATACCCTCAACGAAAGATGATTAAGGAAGGAGGCGAGAAGACGCAGCTGTCATTCTGGCAGAATTGTTTTTTTTGTATTGCTTGGGTGTCTCTCTGTTATCGACCTATATTCAGCCGCCGGCCACTCCTGTGGCTGCCTAGGAGGTTGTCATTTTCGGATACTTTTTCTTGGGTTATTCTCCCTTTTCGATGGCTCGTTCTCATGCGGTCGGCGTTAGGGAAATGAAAGTTTATCGAGGGCACGCAACAGACATGCCCTTCGTGTACCATTAGAAGCGATTGAAGTCTTTGTTTACCATTTTTATAACGAATACGCGGGTGTGGATGGATGGGGACGGTGAGGAGTAGCTTGAGAGCAGCGTGGATTAGATGCGGGAGGAGTACAACGTCGAGTGTGTTCTGTTTCTTTTTCATCATAACGAGGTCAATGAACGGAAACAAGACGGCAGGCTGTCAAAATAAGCAGACAAGAACTGGAAGGAGCTATCTCGAGGACTAGCACCAAAACAGGGACGAAGAAAGAAGGGGCCTTTGCAAGGGCCGTGCTCCTTCCGTCGTTTGCATAGGGGTCACCGGGTAGTCGTCTTCTTCATCTTTATCTGCAACTGTAAATACAATTTTCCCACGGGCAGATATTATACATAACACAGAATCACCGGCACTACGTTCTGATAGTCGTTTGCCATGATCACAGGGATGCACGCACTCTGTATTGTTACATTAGTATATACCTCTTTGAATGTGTGGAGGTTCGTTGGATTTACCGAATTCGGGTTCCGGCCAATCAAAAATCTAGTATTCAAAGGTGCATGACTGTACCGAGAAATGTTAGGGCGATGAACAGTTTCTATAATTCCCTGAGTTATAAAGAGTTACAGAATTACATTACACTTACCGTAGCTCTACCAAGGTCAAGGCTCAATGATGCTAAAGAAGTACATAGTACTACATTAACATTCCAGAAAAGTGGGACTGACACTGGAAACGTTCTTCTGCACATTCAAAGGGATGTCTGGCCCACACTGCCACATCCCGATGCATGGTCAACGCTAACTGTACAACGTGGCATTCAAGGATCAACGAATTGATGGCTCACTTCTGTCTCCATCGACAACGGGCAAGGCGATGAACTTACTAGTACGTAGCTGCTTTTTATTTGTTGTCGCATGTCGCCGTTGAGCATGGCGGAATTTTTCTCGGCCCAGCCAACGAGCCAACAGCCCCGCTAGTCCTCAAAGCTTTTGAGCCGGCACCACCACCACCGTCTCAATTATCTGCAACAATGCGTCGCCTCAATTATCGACCATCGTGCCAGTTCTCTGCAGCAACGCGCACACCTAGAGCGTTCTCGTCGAACCGCAGGATACAAGGTAAGCCACTCCGAGGCAACCGCCTATGAAGCTAACCGACTCATTCTCCTCCCAGAGCTCGATGTGCTTTTCCTTCGACAGCAAGGCTCCAAATACCCCAAATGGCATCTGACTGCCCCCCTGAACGCCGATAGCAACGTAAAGCTCTCGTATGGGGCGTCGGTCCCTGCGGCGCACCTAATTGGGAGGAATCTCCTTGACGTTGTGCATGACAGCAAAGGCAACCGCGTAGTCCTACAAGAACCCACCCTCTCGAGCTACATTGTCCACAGCGAGCGACACGCGACGCCCATCTACCCACACGATGCAAATACTATTGTTGCCTTGTTGGACTTGAACCCATCGCGCCCCGGAGAAGACGAGGATGGAGAAAACGCACCGCCATTCGAGATATTCGAGGCCGGTACGGGCATGGGCAGCCTGACGCTGCATATTGCTCGTGCCATCCACGCCGCCAACCCGCCTCTTCCCCCGAAATTACGTCGCGCCCTTTGCGAGGCCAGATTCAGGCCAAAGAGTAACCCGTCCCTGACACGCGTTGATCTCGAACCGGCCGCGGAACAAGCCCTAGACGAGTATCGAGCGTCCCGACGAGCCATTCTCCATACCCTGGATCAAAAACCAAAGCACACCCACGCCGCCTACACACTCGTGCGCAACTTTCGTCGTGCGCAGTACCTCTCTTCAGTAGACTTCCACATTGGAAGCGTCGACGAGTACCTGTCCGGTAGACTTGTCGAATCGCGCGGTGAACCGTTTTTGCACCGTGCCATTCTGGACCTCCCGTCCGCACATGAAAACGCCCAACGTGTAATTGAGTCGCTGCTACCAAACGGGATCCTCATCCTCTTCAAACCTTCCATCAGCCAAATTGCCGATTTCCAGAAATGGTCCGCCGAAACGCGCCAGCCCGTCCGCCTGGAAAAGGTTCTCGAGCTGCCCGTCTCGACCACGTCCGATGGTGTTCATGACGCCGGCGGCGGCAGGCACTGGGACGTGAAGACCGTCGTGCCCAAGGCATCGCAAGGCGGGGACGGGAAAGTCGTGCAGGTCATGCGGCCCAAGGTCGGCGACCGCATTGCCGGCGGGGGGTTTGTGGCTGTTTTGCGAAGATGGCCTGCTGATCGGGAACCAGTCGAGCAGGAACAAGAACGGGAAGATGCGAATGAAGGGGAGCTGAACGAGAGCCAAGAGAAGGATTAAGATGAAAGCATACATATGATACCCATGTAGACACTACGCCGGTTTGTAATAAAAACTGTAGTATAGGTTGCATTCTAGACATCTACCTACCTACCTAGTAGGTAGTAAACCACCATGTACAAATATATGTTCCATGCCATCTAGGCTGTATTCTACAATCCCCGCGGGACCATTTCTAGGATATTGATATAAACAAGCCATCGCGTCAATTGCAGCTCATGAGTTTAGCAAATAAAACAAAATCGCTTGCTAAGTATTTCTCGCTACCCAAATAAAGCCGATGGGTATCTCATGCACATGTCATAAATGCATTCCCCAATTCCCAATGCCAACGTCAACCATTCAAATGATGCTCTCCATGCACGCCGTGCTCCACATTGAATATGCTTCGCGGTAGTCCGAAACCAAGTTCTCCAAGTCCACTGCACTCTGCCATCCCCTGAGAAGCAAAAGGAGAGAGTGCAATGGCCAGCATTGCCCACGTCCCAACCCCCATCGCGAGTATTAAATCCACACCCTCGGTTCTTAGTATGATCATGCCCCTGTCTGTTCAGCGACAACTATGAGAAACAAAGTCAAAGGCTTAAATGAAAACAGAATAAGAACCCAAGCCAAGAAACAGCTAGCCACGCCATATCCTTCAATCCAGCTGAAAGCTATAAGTAGGAGATAGAAATTCCTAGAAACAAACTAGGCATGACCTTGGAGAATTATAAGGCAACTAATGTATGCTAGAGGTGAGCCCAAATTTCAGCTGGCCGTGGATCATCCAGGAAAAAATGAGACTGGGAAAGAGTCTCGCAGTTGCGCCATACAAGTTCATTTGACGGTACTGATTTCGTGAGAAATGTTGCCCGACGAAGAGGGCTTGCGTCTATTGTAATGCCACCTTGAATACAAAATCCAATTAAAAGGCGAAATTGACTGTTGTAAGTGAAGAAAAAAAAAGAAGGGAAAAAAAAAAAAAGGCTGGCCCCTTATGGTATTGCATGCAAGTAATGAATTTGTGGAGGGCAAAAATGGCGCTTGGAGCCCAGTGTGTGGCTTTAGAAGCTGGTGATCCGTTCTGGTGCCCTCGCGCAGCATACCATCAGCTTCAGGCTAGTGCCTAATTGCTCACATTCAGAAAGCAAACTCTTGTCGTTCCAAATGCTGCTATCAGAACCGACACCGCAGGCGTTCTCATAGCACCGGGTATACCACCAACGACCAACCCGCGTGACAATCTTCGTTATATTTGCATCCGCTAATGGACTATTGTCACGCATCATCTCTGCCAAACTTGGACGGGTTTTCTTCGTCTTGTCAGATCCACGCTTGCTCTCCGACATGTGGCTGCTTGATCGTGTGATTGAACTGGCCACAGGTACTCCAACTCGAGCAGCCTTGATGTTAGAGAATCCTGCCTTGCCTAGCAAGCGTACTGTTAAATCAGAAGCAGATGCAAATGTCGTGTCAGGGGTATTTTGCTGAATTCGCTCTTTAAGCTGTCGAATCATTCGTCGGCCGCGATTGCCCATATTGTTGAGATCAGAGTCCAGGATCGAAAGCTCGATATATCCGTCTGGGCGAAGAACTCGCCGTGCCTCATTCAAAATATTTCGATAATGGGCCTCGGAGGCAGCTATTGGGAACCGATACACAACAACATCAAAGCTCTGCGGTGCAAATGGAAATCTTCCCAGATGAGATGTGTACTGTACTTGATGGTGGTTTGACGGGCTCAGAAGGAACCCAGTAGACGAATTCCTGGGTTCAGCTGGAAGCGGTGCCCGAGGAGAAAGGTTAAAGAACGAGGCATCTGGGTACGTCTCCGCGGCATAAAATGACCAATCATCATTCCCAAGGCCGTCAATGACAAGGACAGAATGCTGCCTAGAGGAAGTCTTGACAGGGGTCAGCTCGTGCCGGACGTCACTAAATAGCACATGGCCAAATGTGAGCCACTTGCTGACAGTCATCGACCCGACTCGAAGATTGACTTGCGCTAAAGGCGACCCATCGTTTGATGAGGATGAACTACCGTCGGAGAACGTCGTCCGGCAAGATGAAGAGCTATCTCTTTTGGAAGTGAGACTTCCTTCTGAGTCCGCTGGCTTGTCAGCTCGTACGTTACCAATACGTGTACCTGGTGAGCCCAGAGATGTAGGACTGATCTTGGGTTGGAAGGCGGTGCGAATCCGTTCCGTCATGTCTGCGCTATAAGAACTGGAATGCGTTGGTGCTCTCGAATACGTCGATACTTTGCGGCTATCAACAGAAACAGTAGGAGAATCAAGCTCTTTACTTTTTGCTAATTTCTGTTGATAGGTTTCCAAGTGGAATGGTACGCTTTTGGACGATGTGGCAGACCGCGACCCCTTCATCGCCTCATCACCGAGCAGGTCATCGTATTCATCCCATATTTCATCTTCGGCTGGCGGGTCTTCTGGCTTTGGGATCACTGCCGTGGCCGTTATGGAAAAGGGGTTCGCACCCCCGGAACTAGTGGAGCTAGTGTAAGTGGTGCCGTCAGAGTTCTTGCGTGGAGGGAAAGACAGGAACTCGCGACCAAGTTGACCGATTTCTGGAGATATCTTTGAGACCGAGTTGGGGTATGAAGCGAAGTCTGCCCCGCTCTCCAAGGTCAAGCCTGTTCCAGGTAGTGCTGGGACAGGTGTTGGGGACTTTGGTGTAGGCCCAGTGGCAATGGACTCAGGATCATACATTTCTGCTGTGTTTCTAGCGGGATACTGCAAGCTAGCGCGGAAAGGACGTGAAAAGCTCTGAGGAGAGACATTTTCCTTTCGCTGTTTGATAACTTGTGGAATCCGACCGACTTGCTGAAGCCGACTGGGTCGTAGGTTATTACTCATTCCACTTGTGGCCGTTTGGGAAGCAGGCTCTGCTCCGCAAGATGAAGCAATTGTCGTAATAGAATGACTGTCTGAGGAGGCTTGCCAAGATGCTTGTGGCTGAAAATCCGCTATGAGCCGTCTTGAAGACTGGATAACCGATTCTGGGTAGTTTTCCACGTTTTCCACATTTGGTATCTTTTCATACACTTCGGCTTGTCTCAATACTTCTCGAACGTCCATAAGTCCATTTTCGTCTTGTTCCAAATTGTCCATGATGGTGTAAAATGCAACAGGGCGTTTATCCACAGCCTTGACAGTGGCTTGAATATTCTCATTGCTTTGGGTCTTCTTGGTATTGGACTGACTCTGTGACCTGCTGAATAAATTCCATCTCCGCGGTGACCGTGTCTTTTTTTTGAGCTTTTTGTGAACAGGATGTAGTCCTTCTGACTCTTGCGAAAGGTCCCGTGTCAACTCTATTTGCGATTCATCTGATAGCAGACTAGTATCGAGACTCGTGAGTGGTGATGGGGACATGTGGCCACCAGTTTTGAGAGGTTGAGGAAGTCGTATGGGATTGTCTGGAGATGACCGGAGTCTCTGCACAGATCGTCTAAATGCTAGGGTCGATTCCATGCCAACCTCATCGGACCTAAAACCGCCATGAGGCTGACGAGGGCTAGAGGTTTGGAATCGGGGCAAAGCTGACGGGCGAAGTCCAGAGCCAGACTCGTTGCGGGAGGTCAACGACCCCTCAGAAGAAATCTTTGAATCTATGCTGGGACGACCTGGCGTGCTCTGATTGGTCTCCGAACGAGACAGCTCTGCGCTGGCATTTCGGTTTTCCACGACTTCGCCACCAGAAATGATGACAGGATTCATTCTATCAGTTAAAAACGAATCTGCACTCCTTGGGCTATCGTACGACGACACGGGTTCTGTAAAGCCATGTGGCAGGACAGAGCCACTCCCGCTGCGTCGTCGGATAGCGCCAACACGACCATAACCCTCATGTCCCGTTCCTGCTACCGGACCTTTTCGGCTGGTGCTTTTCTTGTCAGGCTGGTCATCTTTCTTCGAGCTGTCGGAAGTAGTCTTTTTCCTCCCGAAAAAAGGGAATCTGCTTCGAGACGACGACCTAGCCCTGGACTGCGTAGTTTGAGCAGACGGATTAGGCTCCGTTATTTGCCCCTTTAGTTTGTCAAAGCTTGGTTGGGATCTTGACGATGGCGAAAAGCTTTCATTCCTCAGGGAAGCATTTGATGACGATGTAGTTCGGTGGGCCTGTGGTTTGGACATCGTAGATCCTGGAAGCGAAGTAGTACCCAATGAATCACTATCACGTCCTTCCGGAGTCCGTATGGTTGACACCAAGTTACTCTGTATCACAGGAATGGGGCTAAACAGCTGTGATTTCATGTCTGGAGTGTTATGGCGGCTCGGGCGTGCCGGAGGCCCTGTCCGAATCGGGGACGATGCATCGGAGCATGTGCGACTATGTGGCTTCTTTTCATATGGAATATCATCCAGCTCAGAGATCTTGGATTTAGCTGGCATATAAATTTCATTCCCTTCTTTTGGTTGGCAAAACTTCTGCGAAGATTTTCTAGGTGGTGGGCTCGGCGGCGGTGGCGATAAATGCCTGGTCTTGGCCTTTTCTTTCTTCGTAGCTCTATCCCCTTCCTTGATAGTAGAGTTAGAGGATGACGAGGTCAGGGATTCTCTGACAGATGCTAGGCCGTGAGGGTCAATAGCCGTTTCGTCGGGAAAGCTTCCGGCACGCCTTCTAGTGACAGGAGGCCTCGTTGTTGATACACTGTGCTGTCGGCCACTTCTATGTGGAATGCCTACTCGGCTCGGGGCAACAAAAACTGGGGACTGTGAGGACATTGAAGTAGGCGTAGTGTCCCGACTGTACGGACCAGGGCCGGGAGACTCGGAGAACTTGGTTGAAGGGCTTCCGCTGGCGGCACTAATCTGGCTACTACCACCGGAGAACAACTGCGACAATGGGGTTGGCGGCGGCAAGTCATGCGTTGCCAAACGATAAGGGACATCGATTTGGGGTCGGTCTAAAGCGTGTTCTGGCCGCTGAAAGTCACGATATCGATCGAGCTCCGGGTATATCACAGGCGGCTGTGACAACGATCTTCCAACGTCGCC